TCGTGCTCAACACGGTGGTAAACAGGCAAATTAAAGGGAGATAAATAACCAAAAACAGTGACAACGATGGCTGGAGGGCGGTGCGGTTGTGATGACGTCACTGAACGCAATTGGTGAAAGAGCGTTAGGAAACTGTCACAACCACAACCCGCAGCGGGTTGAACGGTCCAGTTCACTCGTGACGCTAAATGACGTCAAACAGCACCGCCCTCTTGTCATCGCGGTCACTGCCTTTAGGTCACAAAAATAACTATCCAGATGAGATGCATCTCGAAATGCTTTGTCGAGAGCGTAGTATCCCAGCTGAGTTGGTTTTACAGTTCTTCCTCAAGGGATTACGTTTTCCCTTTAATACCTCGATTGATCTCTCCCATTAACAACTCACTTTGCGGCAAATTCACTGTGCCTGATGAGAAGTTGCCTGGCGCTGATTGGCTGATTTATGAGCATCTCAGAAAGCCGTTTAGCATTGTGGGAAAAGCTGAAACAGTCTTTGTTCAGAAACGCAATGCAGATCAAACTGAATAGATCATCCCTCCTTAGGAATTCTCAAATCTATACCCTCAGGAATTTTCAAATCTATACCTCGCATCGTCGAAGATTCTTCTCAGAGAGTCTCTGAGAAGTTGTGGATGTTCCAAGTTGACCTTATTCAGAACGATGCCTCCACCGTGTTTTGCAAGCATATGCGCATTTCTCGTCTGATCAGCAAAAATCGGCACCTTAAAAGCAGCGGTAACATTTGAATATGGTGGACAAAATAACCTCATTGTACAGAATTGTATACCATTCAGAAAATTCTACTCCATGTTACTATCAAAAACTTACCAGTATTGCTGGTTTTCCCAGATGAGCGAGCTCGGTGGTGCTCCCCAAGCCTCCATGTGTAATGAAAGCCGTGAGACGAGGATCAGCTGAATTTTTTCCAAGTTCGAGTTCCTACTGTGTTTTCAGGATTACAGCTATCACGAAGTATCATCAGCTATCATAATTTATCATATCAAATATTGATCAGTGATGGACCCATTCTGGTTCAACTCATTTGAATAATCAATAATAACAAAAATAATTGTTAATTTTATAGTTCTCTTTTTGGGGGGGGGAGAGGCTAAAAAGAATAAGTCGTTGCTAGGGCCGGCTCCATATTCATTAGATAGACCAATTCGGAATTAAAGACAGCTGGCGTTGTAAGGGATGCTGTAATATCTCAGTGGGTAAATAGGCTTCGGCGCTTGTAATTGACCCCTTTCGCGGGGAGCCGGGGGGTCAATAGAAGAGAAAAATAACAATATTCTACAGAAGTGCAAGAAAGAGGTCATCCAGAGAACGCAACAAGTGCGAAACGCTTAAACGAAGGGAGGAAAGCTTTCAAGGCATTCGTCATTCTTTTCATTTTCATTCTTCTGTTTACAGCTCAATTTTGCTTACCAAGGAGTGCGTTCTGAGGCACCCAAGTGCTGAGATGAACATTCTTGAGGTGAGCCGCTATCTGTGAACCTTCGGCTTCGTATTTCCATATGAAGGTAGTATCAGGCATGCTTTCAAAAACTTCCAGTAACGTTTTCCTTAAATTTGGAATTGCCTCATTGCAGGTAAACATGTGAGGTGGTTTTGTGACGACCATAGCCTTTTCATTCATGAACTCACCTGTACTCATCTGGCATGTAGATAGATTTGGCCACTGAACCGAATGAGACCAGTACGGTGGTGTTTCTCTCACTCAACACGCTATTCCATTCCTTCAATATTGAGGAATTATTGAAAAGATCTTCACAGAAAGGACCAATCGAGCGGTAACTGATACCTTTGACAAAACATTCTTTTTGGGATCGATATGGACAGCAACTCCGCCCAGTGGAACTGTCTTGTGGAGCATTGGACGAGGATAGTCGAGGTACGGGTTTGAGTTCGTGAACACATACGAGGCATCCGCCAGTATTTCCTGAAATTCCATTGGTGCCTTTGTTGCCCTAATCTCTTTATTAACATCGAAATTTAGGCGGAACTGGTACACTGGAAAGTAGTGTTTAGTGTCTGCAGATCACTTTTTACTTGCACGCCGTTAAAGGAATCCTGCGCGGAAAAATCATGATCCTATTTCTCCCATGAAACACTGACTCGAGTCCCATAGGTCACGATGAGAAGAAAAGAACGAGAAATAAGAGTTTGTTTTGTAGAAAAATTCAAAAAACCGAGACACCTATTAGTCGTTCAAATTCCCGCCAAGCTGACGTCACGAGCGTTTGCGAGAGGTACCTCGTTTCTCGGAGTGTCGTCACCGAAAATTCTTCCCGCGGTGGCGCGGCGCTGTGATGTGGGCTTGGGCCTAATTTTAAGTTTTTTTTTGTTCCACAGCTCTGTGTGTGTGCGAAATGTGTGCGAAACAAAATCACGCGCAATTGTGCTTTGGGACGCAATTGCACTCGCGGCAGTTTACACGTCGTATCCTGAATTCGTCCTACAACGCGTCGCCTTACACATAGCCGCCTCCCCACGTACATTGTTCCATGAGTTATGTTGTTCCGCCCGATGGTCCATGGAATGTGGTTTTGGTAAGTTTATTTCTCTTCGGAAACTAAATGTTCGTGCGCCTAACTTCGTATGTTGGCTCCAGTGACCACAACTGACACATACATGTTGGGAATTGGAGCAAGAAATTTCCGCGCAGGATTCCTTTAAGCAAGGTCCAAGCACCTCACTCGCACCAGGTAGAGTAACTGTAACATCCACCAGGGAAGATCAAAAGAAACCGATTCAGTTTAGAGGCTCCCACGTCGACGAATTGTGGTGCGCTCACACGAAACAGCTACTGGGCGCAGCAGGCGAAGCGGAGCTAGCGAACAACCAGAGTACGAACTGACCATGGGGGGCATGGTACCCCCGAACTAAACGGGCCATACGTCCTGCCGTCTTAGCTTGCCCGGTTTTTGATGGAAAGCAGAGCCAAACTAAGGTCCCGCGTTCTTCGCTTTCATCCTCAATGCCTCGCCTGTTTGCCGTGGGAGTGCAAATCGGAGCAGCCGGCGTTTCCTGTGAACCCTCTAGAAGCCTGCGTAAACTGCCGCCGTATTCGATTTTTTTTTTTTTTTTTTTTTTTTTCTTTATATTGCTCATCCCGCAAGCGTTCCTATAGGCCAAATGGCACACATATGCACTACGAGTCTAATGGACGACGCAGAAGGCATAAGAGCCAATCGGGCGATCCCCACGGCTGGCAAATCAACCAGCAGGCGGGCGACTCAAATTTGCACCTATCCACCTCCTCATCGAAGCTTCCAGGTCAGTTTTTGCTTCAGCGACACTTCATGTGTTCTCGACTACAACTTACGCATTTTTTTGCTCTATTAGTGGCGCGAAAATATGGGTCCATCTGGGGTTGGTGCTCCAACAGGGTAGCAAAATATGGTGATTGATGACGTAGCAGAAAGGATGAATGAAAGGATGCGCTTGCAAAGAATCTTCAAGCTTACCTCATAGTCTTTGAACTGTGGACCAAATTTCGACCGGAAAGCTTTGATCTCTTCGACAAAGGTGTTGCTGAAAAACCGCTGTCCCATTACCGTGTCCACAAGATTTTTCAGGCGATCAAAGAAGTTCATGCGGTCACCTTTCGTAGACATTCCTCCTTAAGCACACTTTCTTCTACTATGCTATGCAAATATACATATTTCAAGAACAGGCAAAATTGACCAAAGCAATTGAAAAATCGTTCTGACTGGTCTCTCAATAATGGAGCCTACCAGGAACATAGCTCGGTGTTATTGGTTCTCCAATGCTGTTCGATATGATATCCAAATGTACACCGGAAAAAGTGGAGATTGATGACGGGATCTTCAGCACTTCGAATATTCCTGAAAACCTCAGAGTTTGCTCAATTCAAGGGATCGTGGTCCGATCAGTACTTACCGAGACCGCAGATACTGAAGGCTTCAGCGATGCCACGTCGAACTTCTCATCAGCCAATCGCTTCATTAGGGCATCGTCGGATATCAGATCTTAAGTACTTATTCAGTAGTGTGACTGATTTGATGAAGAAATTTTTAAGGCACATTCCACAATTGGACGCAATTCCCTTGCTCGTAAGGTAATGTAGCTGATTCTGGACTTACAGAGGTAAGACCGATTTCGGGATTACAAGCGCGTAGTAAGAACAGGAAGGGGCATATGTGTAAATCGGTGACCCGACCGTCCACCTTTGAAGGCGAATCCCGAGGATTCCGAACAAAATGAAGCCCTTGCACTATAAATATAGAGCGATGCGCAAGCGCAGACATTGATCTACTTGGCACCTCGACTAACTGAAGGTCCAAAGATGCGCTTCGGCCCCGCCCACCGCCGCAGACCCCGCCCCTATTAGATGCTACTTCGCTTGGTTGCTACTGGAAAGAGGGCTTCATTGACGACGGATTTTTCCCATTCTTCATTACTGGCGTTACACTTCACATTTCGTTTACATAGGCTTCAAGCGCAATAACACACCAATTCCTATCCCGAACATTGCCTCTAAAAAGCGTTGATGTCTGGGTCTTGCTCGTTCCTATTATCTCTCATCTTTCAAAGCCATTCTCTCATCTAGCTCTCAGTGCTTCTTATTGATTTGTTTATTTATTCAATAGACTCTATCAGACGCTATGAAGAAAAAAGACGAAATACAAGCCAAGGACCTTCTTAGACCTTCGCTCAGAGTCCACTTCACGCCCAAAAACGGCACATTGCGAACACTTTCGGAGGGCTCTTCCAACTCTTCCTCCTCTGCCGGACCACTTCGCCCCAATACTTTTATTTTTCGCCTCCAATCACACCCAAGCAAACGTGCCTACAAAACTCCATCCCTTGACAGGATTGGCTTCCGTAGGTTCTCGAAAATTGAACTAAGTTTTATTTTAGTTGCATCCTGGGAAGTGGTCTCAAGCGTATCTCTACTAGCGGGCTGCTCTATAAACGGGCTCCCAGAATCGCTATTCAGAAACCAAATCAGGAAGCCGGGCTGGTCTGCTGTGAAAGGAAACTACTGTGATAGGCTTCCTTTAGATAACATTACCTACGTTCGCAGAGGTAGGTGAACGAAGCCGTCATGTTTTTTGCCACTCTGAAATGCGTATATGACAGCTTTGGAACAACATCAATTAAAAAATATTCGATTCAGTTAAGCCTTTGATTTCAATTCATTCTCATAGATGGTGCGTTCCGCTCTCACCTGCATGAGCCCGTAAATACTTGGCTGCATTGTCCACATGTGGCTGAGCATAATTGACTTATATCTCATCATCTCCTCTACACGTGGATCTATGGGTGTTTTGATGATTTTCTTTGTCAGCTTTACTCCAGTCTTAGCCCCTTCCTCAACGTCCATAATCGGCATGAGAACAGTCTGCAACAAAGGAACTGAACCTGTAGTATTTAGAGCTCTCCAAAAATGATTATTAGCTCAATTTCAGTTGTGCTTTGAGCAAGGCGGTAATGAACCACCACACTACGCTCGAGTTGGTAGGGCTCTGGAGCCAGCAAGTTCAGGAAACTCTTTCCGGACACCTTCCTTTCCTCTCTAAGGATGAGATGAATGGCTTTGTTAAGGGCATCAGT